TCCCATACCGATTTGCTGCATTTCAGCATTGCTCTCAAAGTGTTCGCCACTGGCACGTAATAAAGTAGTCAAATTGATGCCACTATGCTCTAAAGGTGACATTTCGAATGCCTTACGGTACCTACAAAATCAATATATCGATTAGACAAAAAAGAAACAAAGTTTTGCTCTGTTTTTTATTTGCATGCTACTCACCACGACACAGCGTTGTTTAGAGCTTCACGATCTTCATAGTTGCTTGCAATAAACTTGTCCTTATAGATTCGGCCTATATCAATAGCTACTTTTCACAGATTCGGTAACCTAACCCACTGCGGAGTGAAGTCTAAAAATGTCAACCTGCAAGACAAATGACGTCAGGGCTAAGTGCTTCTTTGTCAGTCGTAGATTCGATGATGTTGAGTACAGTAGCCAATGAACGTTCTCGATCACCTTCTTTGTTCCTCCTAAAAGTTTTTTTTTTAAATCATATTGATCGTTATTGTAAATATGATGTGATTAAACGTACCTTGCTAACGCAAAGGCGTACTGATACCGTATGACTTGGGTATCGATGAGGGTGCAGTCTTCAATACGACTGAGGTCTTCGACAAGGCTAATCATCCCATTGTAGTTTTGATTGTCCCTGAAACATGACGTCATTCTTAGAACTACACATACTGCAAAAGGTCAATATGTGGGTGAAGTTGGGATCAAATGAAGATGATTGACGATGGGATAGAAGAGTTTCACTAGCGCTACCCTAGCTATTTTTTACCCACTCAATTTTTCTTCGCAATAGCTGATGGGATAAGGTAATAACTTCTGGCTAGTAACTCGACAAATTTCAACAAGAAACCCTTAAGATGGTTAGATTTTTTATTAACCTGAAGAATGTTTACTTTCACTAACAGTTTATAAGCATGGGTAAGGAGCATAGATAAGTCATGATGTCCTCTTCACAAAAACCTAAACAATTTTAATTTTTACCAGATATAGTTGAATTTACCTATACGAGATCATCAACTGATGTACGGTATCCACAGATAATACGTCTGGATTGTCAAGACGGCAGCGCATCTTGTCTAGGAAATCGTTCGTCTCGTTCACATCGGTGATTTCCCGAGCTTTTCGTAGATCAGACAGGAATTTTTCACGCGAATGTGCACTGAAGAAAAGAGTGAGATTACAGTAAGCAGAATATTATGGTGATGTGCACTAAGTATTATATAAAAAAGCAGGTATTTATTGCAAAAGAAATCGATACTAATCAATACACTTGTAAAAAAATCAGTTCTGCAACAAAAAAGAAGGAATTACCTAGCTTCGATTTGTACGCTTTTCAATGATGCTTTGAGACGTGACTTGAATGTGACTTTGTTCGGACTTTTGAACTTCGCATCATCATCGACATCGCGCTTGCTTGGCTATAAAAAAACATGGGTATTGATTATTTGGAAATTATTCATACCATAGGAATGAAATTTACTGTACAAAAATATGTGCTTTCTCCATTTAATACTTAAGATGACGGAAAAATTAGAAAACAGAATTGATTTGAAATTTTCAACGATGTGTACAACTATTTGATAGTGTGTACGCTGGAGATTAGGATTATTAGTTGACTATTTGAACA